GAGATGGTAGAGTCCCCATCCCTGGAGGTGTTTAAAAACCGTGTGGATTTGGTGTCGAGCAACATGGTTTAGGGACCCTGACAGTGCAGGGTGAATTGTTGGACTCGATGATCCTGAGGGTGTCTGCCAACCAGATGATTCTATGATATCTGTGGAAGAGATCTGTTTTGATTTTTGGAGTTAAACTAGTTCAGAATTTTTTTCCTCCTTTCATTAGCTGACACCAAGGTTTGGAATAATTTGACGTATTTTCCAACCTAGAGCCTGAAAGTGCAAGGAAGTGGGTTACTGTGTACTGCTTGAGGATGCTAAACTGTTGCTTGATTACACATAGTTTGGATTGGAAACTGAATAATAGTTTATGGAAGTAAAACGTGTTTCATGTCAGACTGGAAAACTGCCAAATTGTATCTTGATAAATTCGGAGAGCTGCATTGTTTTAGTGCAGCAGAAGATGGAAAATAATGTTGTGACATCCCTAAACTCTGCTCATCTCTACTCACTTCTTATGCATCCCGTGACTTTCCTCTAGTTTTCTGCATGGGTCTTTTTTTTTTTCCTTTTGTACCTTTTTTCTCCTGAAAGGTGGGTGTAGTTCCATTTTATTTTTATTCCCCCCATCATGTTGTCTGTGAAGTATTCCAGCACACATACTGTCAATAGACGTGTATGTTCACATGTAGAGTTTTCATTCATGTAGAACATAGCCATAATGTGATCTCCTACACAGACTTTCTCTTGACATATGAAATAACTTAGTTCTTTACATTTTTTTTTATTAAAACGTGGTTTTGTGCTTTGAAAAATGCATCAGATTGGTGACTCTGAGGAATTGCCTTAGTCCTTTAACATTGCAGAGTCTTCTGCACTTAGATCTATTCTTTGGTAGCAGTGTAGGGCAAAATTCATCCCTGAGGAAAGAACCGATTTTAGTAGAAGATTTAGTGTCAGTATATCTGTGATTATTTCTTTTTGTGTGACCTTTGGTAAGTCATGTCATCTCTTGGTGTGGATACAATCACATATGTACCACCTTGAGTGACGTTTTCATTGCTCGCTTAAATATTGTATGAAGAACCCCTGAAGATCTATGAATGATACGTGCTCGAGCTCAAAATTAATATTTTCAAGATCATATGAAACAAAGGCTGTCCTATCCCTGCCTGATGCTTATAAAGAATCTAAGAACTGCCTCCACTTTTATCTGGAAAGCCAACACAGTGCATTAGTGTCATTCAGCTGTTTGAGTCCTAAATACTTTTGACTTCTGTAGGTTTATCAACAGCTTTTGTTTTCCGGTCTTGATCTGTTCTTTAAGCTGTTTCTCTTTCTTCCTAGCCTGACAGACGCTGTCTAAAATTGGGGAGTTTTTCTTTGGTTTCTTTGCCAGAATACGTGATGCTGATGCTTGTGTGATCGTAGAGTGAGCGTGTTGCTTGGGAGCCAGGGATTATGGTTATTTTCAGTGTGTTAATCCTGAAGGAATCAGTCAGCACCAATCTTATCCTCTGTATGAAGTTCCTGAGTTTCTTCCAGAAAAAAAAAGTAGTGGTTCTAGATATTTAACATCCTACTTTCAGTTCTAGTGAAAATCATAGCTGTGTACCCAGGATTCAGAGGGATTTTGTTTTTTATTTTTTCCCCACCCACCTCACAGGGAATCTTTCTTTTGTGGAAAAGGAACACAGCGCTCTGTTCAGCCATTGTCTTCCAAGCCCATCCTGTCATCCTTCCCCAGCTATTAAGAAGTAGTAATTTACCCCTGTAGGGAGCCACTTCTTGCCATTTATTGACAAACAACTTCATGTAAATGTCTCGAATTCTTTTGGTTTATTTGCTTCTACTAAGATCTGAGACCCCCCAAAGAAATTGTTCTCAGTTACTGGGTCTCTTCATTAAATTTTTCTTGGAAAACTGATTGTCATGTAAAATGAACTTCTCCTAGATAGAGCAAGACCCTGCCAATAATGCCTTTTCATTTTCTTCAAGCATGTAGGAGCTCGTCATCTTAGCCACTTCTTTGCATGTCATCTGCCCTTGTATGCCAGGTATTTTTTCATGGAACTTAATTTTAGATAACTCAAGGAATCTCAAAACTTGTGTGGTTTTATGCTACTGAGGAACAGACAGACTGCAAGAAAGCATCAGATTTGAGTGAAAGAATTCCCAAAGTTAGGCTCAATACCGAAATGCATCTTTTATCAAGGCATCACATGAGTGGTTTTTGTTTTAGTAATTTGTAAATGAAAATGGGGCATGTTAGACTAAGGTTTAAGTTAAGATGCATTTTCCTTTCCGTCACGTTTGAATCCATTGATAGAATATATTTGATATATTATGAAACTTAAAAGTCATTAATTTCATTTCCACCAGCTGTCACAACCCTTCGAATTCTCATTGTGATTGATTTTTCTTTATTTTCCTTTTTAAATAACACCATTACCATGCTGGGGATAGGGTTTTTTGGTTTACAGAAGCTAGCACACTCAGTGCTGTGGAACGTAACAAACAGTGAAACTGATTTCCCCTCACTTACAGCAATGTAACACCACTGATTTCAGTGGAGCTTCTAGATTTAGCACTGTTTGAGGGGAGAGTTAGACCCAAAGTTTGCTTTGATCCCATCCATGTTTTGTTACAAGTCACTGTTAGAAAGAGTATACCAAATCATCTGTCTCTGACTTCACATTTTTTTTGTTGACATTCAAAAGCGGATTCCAATTTCATATGTAACATTTCATATACGTTTGGTCTTCAGTATGCTGGATTATGACACGGAGAACCTAAATTCTGATGAAATCTACAGCTCTCTTCGTGGAGTCACAGAAGCGATTGAAAAATTTAGTTTCCGTAGTCAAGAGGACCTGAATGAGCCAATCAAACGTGATGGAAAGAAAGACTGTGACATTGTAAGTATTCAGTTGATTAATGTCCCCAGATAGATGAAACTTAAAAACAATTATGTTCAAACCTGGCTTTGGATCGTTAGTGTACAAAATCCAGTTATTTCTCCTACGTTCTTACAAGTGTCTTTGGCTTATTGATTGCTAACTTCTTATGACTAAATTTGCTAACTACTTATGACTAAATTACGATGTCACACTAAGGTAGTCCCTTGCTTCCTTCGCAATGTAACCTCTTGTGAAATGTGTTCTCTGGGTTTCTGATGGAGTCTCATGTATGAAGGAAGTGCTAGTGTTCCTCAAGCTCAACATGGCTCAATGATGGCTTTTTCATGGAGTCTGTGTATGTATCAGGTCTGTAACGGGAGATGTTAGTTCTTAAAATTTCCTCACAGGCTTTTATTACTTCATATATAGGAAGGACCTGTAATCACATCGAGCACACAACTCATGATGGTACCTTATGCTGCATGAATGGTTACAGAATTATCTATCATGTGAGGTGCCATTTGTTTTAATTGAATACATGGACTTCAAAATTTACAGGAATCTTAAATGATGATCCTTATGGGTCCCTTTCAAATTGAGATAGTTATGATTCTACGACAGTTTTGGTTCCTATTGGGACAGACAAGTTTAGGTTAGTAGATTAAGTTAACCTTCAAAGATAAAAATTCTTGATCCGATATTTTTCTTCGGGACCCTTGTATTGTTGTTTCACGTTAGCCTGCTAAGCATCCTCCAGGCTCCTCTATTAGTGGATCATGAAGTTTCATGAGGAGGATGTTGCTTTTGCTTCCTTTCCCTTTCTTAGCAAAACAGTCCTGTTCTAGGCTTACAATAATCTTTGCCAGCTTGTACAGTTTTAGAAATATTAACTTTAATTTAGGAAGGATAGCATAGCTTTTTGTCCTATCATCATGAGCTATTTTTGGAACAGTTGTAGTTATATAAGAGAAAGAGGTGGTAATCTAAGTGTTACTCAAGCATTACATGTGCGTAAACAATTCAATGCATCTTCATATTGGTGAGTGAACTCCAAAAAAGCAACAGCTTCCAGAATTTGAGTAGTCTCATGTTTTTTCTGTCTGTTTGATCCCCCAGGTGTCTCGAGATGGTGGCCTCGCTGTGCCTTCCAGCGACATCCGTGGAAGCAGTGACATTGTGGAAGGCGGAAGGATGGCTCTAGATAACAAAACCTCCCTACTTAACACCCAGCCTCCCCGCGCCTTTTCAGGGCCACGTGCTCGAGAATATAACCCCTATCCTTACGTCGACACAATTAACACTTATGACAAGACTGCCCTGAAGGAAGCAGTGTTTGATGATGACATGGATCAGCTTCGGGATGGTTTGTATCTGCATGTCTTGTAAAACTGCAGACAACTTGCTCTGTTCCTGGTATATTTGTATGTGGATAGTGCTCTCAGATACATGCCTGCCCGTGCATATGTTATATATTACTTTGCACCTGAGTTGAGGCTTGGAATGAAAATACTCTGTGTTCATGTACCAGCAGATCCTCAATTCATTCTCGATCTGTGGCTATTGAGAAAATGTTATACTGCAGTTTTAACTTTGGTTTGCCTAGAGTTTCCCTCAAACTAGTCCTTAAGCATCTAAATGCATCTGTAGGGACACTGCTTTGGGGACCTTCTACTCTTTATGACTGAAACATCTCGCTCAATTGCTTGTTGTTACTGAGCATTTCACTTCATTTAAGTGATGCTGCACCTTAGCTTTATTCTTTTGCAGCACCCTGCTGAGTCACTGTACTTTGATCTAAAGGTCATACATGTGATCGCTGGTTTGGGTGTGTGTGTCTGGAGAAACTGTGGCGATTCTCATCTTGCAGAAGTAATTATTGGAATTGGATTAAATTCAATAGTCATCTCTTCCTGGTTCATTAGAAGCCATGTGCAGATTCATGAACTGTGTTGTGGACTCAGATGGAACTGTGGACTAGTCGGATTCTCTTGCCTGCTTGGTTGAGGCCACCTGAGATTTGATGCATTTTTGGGGGGGCCCCTTGTTAGAGAATTAATAATCTTGGCATCTTTGATCTTTTTTTCTATGTTTCCCCAAATGATTTGCTGCTATTTGTCCTAGAAGTACCCATTGACCATTCAGATTTGGTGGCTGATCTTCTGAAAGAGCTCTCCAACCATAATGAGAGGGTGGAGGAGCGGAAAGGAGCTCTCCTGGAACTGCTAAAGATCACAAGGGAAGATAATCTCGGAGTTTGGGAGGAACATTTCAAAACCATTCTACTCTTGCTACTGGAAACGCTTGGAGATAAAGATGTGAGATACAGATTTTTTTTTTTTTTTTTTTATCTTAACTCTCCTGTACATTACTTCATGTAGGGTGATAGTTCCTCCACACTAGTTTAAATGAAACCTGCTGCATTTGTACGGCATCTCATCAGTGATGCTGCACTACTTGGTTTTTCTTTTGAAGGTTGGTGACTCTGCTTTTGTTTTCAGTGTGCTCAGTGATGAATTTTAAGCTACTCTGAAGTGTTCCAGTTTTTCCCCCTCCCTCTGGAGTGTTAGTAACAAATAACTATGAAATTGAACTAGAATCAGAAAACATATTATCCTCTAATCTTGTACAAAAACTATCAAGATTTCAAAAGTTGTTGTCTTCCGAGTTAGGATGAAGTTAAAGCTCTTAAATATATCATACTCATTCCCCAAAAAAAGAAGAATAAAGGAACCCTAGACTTTTTTTTTTTTCTCTGTGTGTTAAAGATCCAGGCTATTAGATCTTGTGGGATGGGTCTCTGTCTCTTGCAAAAATGTCATCAAGAACAAACTGCTTTTATAGGGGATCTTGTTTTGAAGTATTTAAAAAAAAAGCTGCATTATTATCACAGCTTTATATTTGATAGCTGATCAAAGTGGTAATTTACAGGCTAGACTTTTTCCACTTGAGGCTATTTGTTCAGCTTGCAGCACAATGATACTCGGTAAAGGCTCAGCACCCTGCTGTACTTTGACTTCAGAGCCAAGCTCCATCTGAATGTTACAATATTTAGGCTTCAAAGTTCCAAAGCACTCACAGTTCTTCTTTTTCATTTCATCTGATTCAAAATCCGTTGTATTTCTTATGCTCTTTGTAAAACGTGTGATGCACTTTCAGAAATTTTAATCCTGAAGCAGTGTAGGTGGCTGTCATTCTCGGTCATTTGTAGTATAAGCATGAGCTGCTCTAGTCCTGTGTGTAGGATCCTCGTAGCATCATTGCACACATACCAGAAGATATGGGGGCTTTATCTAATATATGTGAATTGTGAGTACTACATGAATTTTGCAGATGAATAGCAAAGGACATGTTTTAAAGGCTGAGTATAGAGTACAGTAAGTATTTCTCTACTGAAATGATAGCATCTATTTGGAGTGGCCACGAGCCAAAAACTTAATATAACAGTTATGAAATTGAAGCAGGTGTTATAAATCCCTTCTGCTAATGATCTTTTGGTATAAAGGATTAACACATAGGTCAGTGACTACAACGACTGACTGTTCTTGAAAGTAATTTCCATAGAGTTACAGGAAGTGTGTCGATTTTACTGCATTAGAACATGAGGAAACAACTGCATTGCATGGATGGAACCCAGTTTGATATCCGCAAAGCTAAGCAAAAGAGGAAGGGCAAAACAAATATCATCTGAGCTTCTTTGTAGATCCATGTAATGCAGGTGTGCTGCTTTGGGTACAAATTTGTACTTCATTGCCAAAACAGTATGAAATTTAACAAAGTAGAGTAATTCACATTCTTTATTGTATGTGTGACAGCAGTCATTTTATGTGAATTTTTGTGCAAAAGCAAGCAAGGAGACCAATTCTGAGTTTTAGTTACATTAATTCCACTGCTTGCTCCACTGGAGCTGGTAGAGTGATACAAGATTTCTGGTGGCATAGAGAGTCATGAGAATTTACTTCAAACTGCAATTTTGAGAGTCAACTTTCTAACGTGGATTTCTCTTGACACAGCATTCAATAAGAGCTCTGGCGCTGCGAGTCCTAAGAGAGATCTTGCGGAACCAGCCAGCAAGATTTAAGAACTATGCGGAGTTGACCATCATGAAAACACTGGAAGCACATAAGGATTCCCACAAAGAGGTGAGTGAGCCTTTTAGTGTTGCTAGTGGGAAAGCAATAGGGACCTTCTGAAGAAATGTAGGAACCGTGAGATTTAGCTGGCAGACACATTGTCCCATCTTGACAGTAGAACAAACTGATATTAAATCTCCCTAATATGAAGAGAGAGGATTTTTATGTGCTGAAGCAGGGAGGAAAAAAGTTGAGTCTGACAGAGCTGTGTAAGTGGATTTGGAGCTATCTGGAATTGTAGGCCACTGTTTAACAACTTCCCAGGATTTCCTTGTTCATTCTGGGAGAAACCAAGACCCTGTAGTAGAAGAGTGCACGTTTAATTATTTTGCACAGCACATTGCACAGGCACTGTGCTCCCTCTGTCTGTATGGGTAAGGATAGGAAGTGTCCTGGAGAACACAAAGCCCGTGTTCAAGCAGAATTGTGTGTGAAAACTGAATGGTGAAATTGGGCCACGCTGGAGAACTGGGAACTGATGAGTAACAGGAGGAAATGGACAAAGAGGCTGTGCTGCTGAAAAGAAGCTAGGGCAGAGGAAGAGGCAAAGGGAAGGGTGAATTGCATTTTCCTTTTGCATTAGAGCTCGTATGTAAAACAAAGTATCTTCTGGAGTAAAACAAAAATAAAGGGACATGATGAGAACATTTGAAGTAGCTCAATTCAAATTGCATTTAAAGTCAATCTTTGTAGAATGAATTCCAAGCTGTATCTTTTAATCTACCTTGTGCATGTTGCAAGTTTGAACTAATCCTTGGAAAGTGCTAGGTTAATTTCTCTGTATGTCTGTGATGACTTTGTTACCAAAGTCCTTGCTTTGAAGTCTAAGACACTTATTCTTCTCTGCAACAGGCTTGTCCCAAAGAAGCAATTTTAAGCATTTACATCTGGAGAGCTTTGGCCATGAAAAAGATCTTTGTATACATCAGACTGCTCTAGAGCATTGCTTTACTGGTACAAGGTTATGTTAGCTGAGTGTAGCAGAAACTGTACTGTTTAAAAATCAAAACAGCAAAACAAAATAAAACACACCCTCAGAGAAAGAAACTAACAGGCAGGATTTCTCTAAAATACAAGAGTAGAAAACGTTTAGTCCTTTAGTGAATGAGGACTGCCGTACTCTGCTTACCTTCCTCTCCTTGATTTAGAGCCTTTGCACTCCTGTCATTTTCAGTTCAGAGTAATAAGAAGCAGTTGTAAATTGATTTCCTGATAAAGCAGTCAGACAAAACATAGTGTTCTGAAGGAGTGCCTTTTATTGGCAAGTTTTCCTGGTTGCATACTTCTCAGCTCACCTTGACTCAGTGCCCTTTGTATTTTTTTTCTGAGAGTACTCCAAAACTGCTGTTTCTAGCAGGACCTTTCCAGATTGTCTCTGGCATTGTTTTAAATGCCTCTTAGAACTCGCTATCCTCATGGGAATGGTGGGTTTTAGAAATAAAGCACAGTGTTGAAAACGTGACACTTTATGCCTCTGTACTCCCCACACTGTGTTCTTCATGCGTGTGGTATGGAAAGGTTCTTCAGGATTTGCATGAAGTCTCTCCTGAGGAAAAGCAGAGAAGAAGTCATCTTTTCTACAGAGACACCAAAGCTCAAGCCAGGAATGAAGAGATGTGAGTTTTGGCACTTCTTTTCAGAAGAATAATTCAGAGCTGTATTGCTATCAGCAGGTGGCTGCTGTGCTGTACATAGCATGCCTTTGATTTACCATGGTTTTGCATAGCCTCTTCGTAATTAAAAAAAGATCATATTTGCAACTGCTGCAGTGAGACCTTTGAGTGACAGCTGTTGTTGCAGAATGCTGCAGGTATATTCCTATTTTACTGTCTGGTGCTGAACAATTGTGTATACACAGCTGTATTAAGTGGTGGCATGGTGCTGGATTTTTCGTTCCATGTACGTGTATTTTCTGATCCCTGTGTAAATGGGACTCTCAGAACCACGATGCAGCCCGTGAAAGGCGTTGTCTGTCTGTCAGTAGTTTGAGAATATCAGCATTCATGAAGTTAAAGGTTTCCCAGCCTGCACTTGGGTCCCTACCTGAATTAGACTAAAGATATACCTGGGAATATGCTTTAGGTATTTTTACCTGTAGTTGAGGCTTGCTGATTCAGTTAAGTCTGTGAAAAATTAACTGGGAGTGCATTGGGACATGGCTTAGTTCATCAAAATCATAGCCCTGGGCCACAAGGTCTCAAATTCCCATCCTGTGATGGCTCTCCAGCTTGCTCTCACTGCTGATTTCACAGCACTGCTCCCTCCAGGAGAGGTGCAGGAGCTGCTCTTTCACTTAATCTCCCTCTCAGTGGGATCAAGTGAAGATTCACCAGTTTGTGATTGAAGGGCACTTTCAAACAATAGCTAAAGAAGTGAAGATCTCAGCGGTCTGTTCTACAGTTTTGTTTTTCACTAAATCAGAGCGGTGTACTGTCCTTAGACTATGTTAAAAAAAAAACAAAAAACAAAAAACAAAAAACACACAAACAAAAAAGACCCATCACCCACCAACATCAAAACAAAACAAAACAAAAAACACCAAAAAACAACAAACAACAAAATCTTCCTCTGTACTGTAAAAACTATTTTGAGGAAAGCTGTTCTGTAATTTGGTTAGGAAAGTGTTAATTCTTATGCCAGTGATACCTCAATAAGATGTCACTCTAGGGTTTATTATGTTTCTGAGCTGCTTTTGCCTCGTAGTAGAAGACAGGAGTGATCCTGGTTTTATAGTTTGAAATCCTTTGGCATGCAACAGGCTGCAAAAGTCAGCAGAAGGTGACTGTTCTGAGCAAGCTGTATCTATTTCAATCTTTCTTACCTGATTTTCCCCTTCAGCACAGGGCACTGCTAATTGCCCAAGTTATTGTTCCCATTTTCTGTTATGTATGGTCTGTGGACAACCAGTCTAAAGTGACCAAGCAAAGAGGAAAGAGTTTGAAGAGAAGCGTGGTACAGAATCCTTAATCTCAGGTACTGTCTCCAAGAAGTCGTCGTATTAAGAGGCAGTTTTTTGGAAATCAAGAAGGAGGTTCATTTGTCTTCCTGAATTCCAGTATTGCTGCTGTTCAGCACGGCCAGGAGAGATCAAATAACAAGTTATAACCAATATATTCACTACCCACCAAGTACCACTCCCTCCTCCATTTGAGTGCTGATAACTAGTTAGATTGTCTGAAACAAAAGGATCTGTAGTTTTAGTCCAGATTATATAATTCAAAGTATCAAAGCAGCATTAGCATATTTGGGTATCTTGAGATGCTTGGATTGGCTGTGTCCAAGCTGATGTCTTTAGACAGTTGAATCCTAGTCATGGCTAGAACTTCTCTGCCTTCTGTTGCTGAAGACAAGGTCTAGGATCAGCAGAGCAGCACAGCTAAGAGCACCACTTCTTTTTCCAGGGACACAGGAGAGAGAAACTTGGTACATGGAGTTGAGTGCTGATTCATACCTTGTGAGCGCAATGTAGGAGATTGGCAAAGCACAGACCTCAGTGGAAGTTCAAAATTAATGTAACCTTAGGCTATAGACTAGGAGACTCTGTGTTGGAATCTCTGTTTAGTTTGCAATTTTTAACTTCAGCCTGGTTTTATACTGTTTTTAGAATAACAGTCTGTTCAGTGCTGTTGATTTAATGGAGAGATGTGAAGAGTCAAGCCTGCCTCAGTCGTAACTGTAAATATTTATGGGGGTTGACATGTAAATGCCTTTCACTTACTTTAGGAGCATTAGAACGTAATTGAAGTTGTGGACGGTATTAAATCTTGTTGATTTTTATCACTCTTTGTTTGGAGTTATTTGGAAGAGAACCATCTTTCTGTTACCAGTTAGTTAATATTAACTCATTTGTTCCAGTGTAGTTACTCACCCATAACTAAGGAGAGATGCTGCCTGCTGACCCAATACCATTGATATGACATTGCTTCTCATTCATACCAGCAGAATGAGAATAAGTCCTCATTATTAAGTATATTAGAACAGAAATAGTTCATTATCTTGGGAAATGGTTACAAAGTGAAAATCATAGGATAGCTAATTCCCTGTTTCTGTCTCTGCCACTCTTTTTCTCTTCAAGTAAGCCTGTAGACCTAGCTGATGAGTGTTTTCTATGTGTAAGGAAAGAATATTGTGCCATGTCTTAGATATCCATTTTAGGTCTTTTATCATCCAGAAGGTCTTTAAGCTTAATTGGGATGTAATGTTCTTTGTTGTAACCCTCAAAAAAGGATGAAAAAGAAGAAATTCACAGCTATGCATTAACTGTTGATAATTGTTACTATCTTGCTGAGGTGCTTTTAGGCTGGCCTCTGACATTTTTAAGATGATTTGCAACTGTCCTCTGATGATGGCATGATCTGTGTAGGTTTCTGAAAAATGCAGCTTACTAAAGAAGAAAAGCACTAAATGATCAGTCTTTAAGGTTAATTGATATATAGTCCATGCTGGAATGGACTGTTGGTTTTGGTATATGTTTATGTGCTTTTTCTGATTCCCAACACATTTCAAATACTTAGTGCACAGGAGAAGCAGTCTAATCTACTTCATCTTCTCTGAATTCCTTATAAAGGTCACATTGTTTTTTCATCTACTTAGCACTCTTCATTGTTGAAGCCACTTCCTGCTTTGAAACCAAGTTCTTAATTGTTTGTTCCTGTCTGGATCAGACTGTAAAGCCTTCAGGGATGGGAGTTTGCCTGGCTAGGTATTGGTAAGCCTCCATCCCCTCCAGCTTAGATTATGCAGGCTTTAAGTAACCACCTCTAGATGGCAAAAATTGGCTCAAAACCAGCTGCTTGCGTTGTAAGCCTGAAAGCAAAACCTTGTTCTTCTGCTTAATAAACTTCTCTGGTGCTCTGCATGTTTCACAATAGCATACAAAGCCTCTAAGTTTTCAGCAGGGTCTTACCTACCCTGCCTCATCCTCTATGACTTTCTGCAGAGATGGTGCAGCTAGCAATCGTGGCAAAGTACTCCAGCTTATGATCCTACCTAGAGGTCTCAGCTAGGTG